TCCAGTGAAGTGTTTGGTCCCTTTTTCATAGATAGGTACCTCAGTGTGCTTGGAGATGTTTCTGCATCTGCTGTTCCACTGACCCTCGGGTCTGTTTCTTTACTTGTACCGTGCTGTTTTTATCATGGTGACTTTGTAGTATTCAATCCAGGGATTGTGATGCCCCCTGCTTTGCCCTTGGTGCCCAGAATTGTTTTTGCTATTCTACAGTGGACCCTTGAGTTACAACTGGCCTTACATATGAACAACTTGGGTTACGACCGGAATTTTAGTTTTAACTTACAACCAAAGTCTTGAGGTATGACCTGGATGCCGGCCGGTTGTGCTTCCAGATGGTCTCAGATATAGATTGAACCCTCAAAGAGTTCTGGAAGGAACATCACAACATCCTTTCTTGTGTGAGGTTGAGAAATCCTGGGCCAGTGTCTCTCTAAGGACACTAAGATCTGCCTAGATACAGGAGAGGGACTTTGAAGGCTCTTAGAGGAGCCTGAGCCCTCAACTGACCAACTTGAGTTACAGCCAGCCCTCAGGAATGAAATTAGTTTGTTTTTGGTTTTTTTGGTACCAGGGATTGAACTCAGGACCTTGCGCTTGCAAGGCAGGCACGGTGCCACTGAGCTAAATCCCCAACCTCTGAAATTAGTTCTTAAGTCAAGGATCCACTGTAGTTCTCTTCTGCTTCCATAGGAATTTTAGGATTGTTTTCTCTAGTTCTGTGAAGTATGCTATTGGTATTTTGATGGAGACTCCATGACCATTTTCACTGCATTTGTTCTGCCTACCCAAGAACAAGGGATATCTTTCCATTTCTGATATCCTCTCTGGCCTTCTTTTTCAGAGTACTGTAGTTTTCAGTGTAGAGGTCTTTCACTCCCTTTGTTAGATTTCTAGGTATTTCATTTTTCTTGATGCTATTGTGAAAGGTGTTGTTTCCCTAATTTCTCTTTCAGTGAGTTTCTTTGTGTACAGGAGTGCTACTGATTTTTGAGTGTTGACTTTGATTTCTGCTATGATACCAAATTTGGTTATTAATTCTGGGAGTCTTTTGGTAGAATCTTTGGAGGTCTTATCAGCAAATAATGATAATTTAACTTCTTCCTTTCCTATCCACATTCCTTTCATCTCTTTCTCTTGTCTAATTGCTCTGGTTAATATTTCCAGAACTATATTTAACAAGATTGGTGATAGCAGGCATCCTTGTCTTGTTCCTGAAAGCTTTCAATTTTTGTCCATTTAGTGTGATGTTGGCTGTTGGTTTATCATAGATGGCTTTGAGCAGATTGATTTTGTTTGTTTTTTGAGACAGGGTCTCACTATGCAGTTTAGGCCTGCTTGAACTGTGTAACCCATGCTGGCCTGGAGCTCAAAACTATCCGCCTGCCTCATCTCCCAAGCGCTGGTATCACAGGTGTGTGCCATCACACTCCACTATCAGATTGAGATAAAGACCTTCTATTCCAGTTTTCTTTAGGGTTTTTATCATCTGTCAAATGCTTTTTCTGCATCTACTGAGACCATGGTTTTGGTCCTTGCTCCTGTTAACATGGTGTATTTCACTGCTGCACTATCCCGAGGCCCTTCTTTATTACCCTCTCTTTGCAATGACTTCTCTGAGTGGAGGGGAAGAATCAGGCACCTTCTGGTTCCACGGGTTCACACAGTATCTGTCCAACTGAAATGCTCTTCAAGCAGCTGCTCACCTTGTACCCTACGGGTGGGTTTGAGTTTCTGTTCCAGACTTACACTGGCCAACAACTTCTTGTTCCTTCTTGTTGGCAAAGTTGTTGCTCACTGGAGTCACTTGGAAGAGGAGTTGGTTGGAGTCACTTAATCTTTTTGTGTTGAGCCAGAGGCTGGGTTCAGAGCAGTGGTCATTAAACCTAAAGGCATTATCATCTGCTCCTCAACTCCCATGAGAGAGCTCTGCCCGTGGGGAGTCAGCCCCAAGTATGGGAACCCTGTGACTGTGAGCACCGCTGGGTCACCCCAGACTCTGTACAGCCATGCTGCCTGTGGGAAGGGAGTCCAGTTGGCTGTCCTCACCTGCAGCAGCAGGCCCACTAGAGCTGGGAGATCTGAGGCCAGATTCTGCTTTGCCCCTGACTCCATCCTCTCGCAGATGGCCCCAGCCCATCATGATTTCTCCCTCCTGTTCGCCCTGTGGCTTGTGGCCCTGAGCTGTGGCACCTGCCTCTGCTGGCCTCACAGGACCTCATAGTGCCTGCTCTTCACACTGGCTCTGTAGACCCCTGAGGGCTAAGGTCACACCTCAGGAGCCTTCTGGGAGATGAGGTGGGATGGAGAAGCCCACCACGTCCAAACCAAATCATACTCAAGTGCCAGCCAACTTGGGTTCATATCTCTGCTGCCACTTCTTGGCTGGGTAATCTTGGGCAAATTGCTTAACTTTCTTCAGATTATAAGACTGATGTGGTGCCTACTGTGCCAGGGAGGCAGATAAGCTTTCAGAATTTCAGTTTCCTCATCTACAAAATGGGCATCATATTAATACCTACCTCATAGAGCCAGATGTAGATTAAGTGAGATTAAGTATGATGTCTTCATGCATATAGACCCTCGCAATACATATAGACCATTGTTAACAATCATCCTTATTGGGGTTTTTTTTTTGGTACCAGGGATCGAACTCGGGACCTTGCACTTTCGAGGCAGGCAGCGGAACCACTGAGCTAAATCCCCAGCCTCATCCTTATTGTTTTAAATATTGGGTCTATAGATTAATTTCATTTGGAAAAGGAGGAAAATTTGCTAAAGAAAGAAAGAAAGAAAGAAAAGCGTGGAAGCCATTGAGTTCCAACGAGCCATTTTATATATTACCATACATAGCTGAGAGGTGTGGGATCTTTTCTGTTGGGACATTATCGACCACACTGGCTTCACCTTTTAATCTCCCACCCGTGCCCTGTGCAGCCCCCAGCTGGGTCTACCATGGGTAGAGTGGGTTCTCCCTGGGTGCAAATGAAGGCAGAACACTAGCAAAATTCTGTGCATCCAAGTGCACACCAAGTGGGCAACTCGGGACCCTCTCCTTACACTCCGAGATATGTTTTCCCATTCCTCCCCGCTGCCCATTCCCAGCATCTCTATTCATCTCTATTCATCTTTGTCGACTTGCACAGGATACAAGATGACATTCTGGCACAACACACTCCACTATCCAGCCTGTTAACAAATACACAGGGAGCACCTGTCTGGGCCAGGCGTTGGGCCCTCCCCACTGAGGTTGCCTCATCCATGAGCTCTCTTCTCCCTGAAGCAGATTTGCCCATGGCCAGTGGTTTGTCCTCATATTTGATTGCTCTGAAGTAACCTGGAGTTACTGATTCCCAAGAGACTGAACTTCCACAATTCCCCCAAATATTCCCACGTCTTAGGAGCAAAAATCCCCAGCCACCAATTCTCAAATCTCAAAGGAGCCTTAGGGCGTCCCAGGAGCAGCTCCCGCCTATTGCAGATAAGGAGGGCAAGAGGTCAGATTGAGCTTGGGCTCCTGACGCTGATCCTGGGCTCCTGCGGCAACACTGAGCCTCTGCCCTCTAGATCAAGGTTCTTAGTTGTGGGGAGGGAGGAATGGTCCACGGCAGGCTAGAGAAAGGTGAGAGAGAGCTGCCACCACCAGAATAGCCCATGGCAAGTGGGCAGGGAAATGTGCTCAAGGATGGTGCTTGGTGTCCTTGCCTTTCACTGATACCAGGCTGCCCTGACCAGGGCCTGGGGAAGGAGATGCCAGGGCAGGTGTGAACCCGCAGAGAGGCTGGGGCTGGGAAAGAAGGGAAGGAGGGCTTTGGGTATTGAGAACCAAGGGGAATAGAAAATGAGCCACTGATTTCATTCAGCAGGGACCGACCAGCTGCTGCCAGGCTCCCCTGCCACCCCCAGCCCAACCCCCTGCAGGCACCGCCTAGCAGACTAGGCAGAATAATCAAGCCCACAGTCACATCTCAGTAGCTGGGAGAGAAGGCAAGCCTTTCAGATCTCAGCATCCTTTGAGGAGAAAGATGTGTTTACATGCTGTCTTTCTGAGCCCGCTCCCAGCAATTTTCCCAATTTTCCCTGTAATTTATTAAAAGCCCACCTTGAAGCCCAGCTGGTGAGTCAGGTCCTGGGAACAGCTGGTGGAGGGTGAATGGCCTGGAGGGGCCTGGTAGGAGAGGCCACTAGTGCTCCCGGTAGGATTTAAAAACTCCTGGAACTTTCCTTTCAAACTTGAAATAGGGTACAGTACTCTGGCTGGCAGTTCAAAGAAAGAGAATGAGAGGAGACCATGGTGACCACTTACATGGCAGGATATAGGACAGAGCTCAGCCTGAACATTTCATTGATTCTTCTGGGAAAAAATACTGTTCTTCATCACCTTGCTGAGAACAGTGGAGCTGAACAATTAAGACAAAGGTCCCACAGCCACAGGGAGCAGATCTGGGATTCAAACCCAGCTCTAGTACTGTACCCTGCGGCCACTGAGTTCCCCCCCAGCCTCCTCCTGAGCCTTCCCACCCACTCACACTCTCCCCAGTGCAGCCCCTCTCACCTGAACCCTGGGTCTGGGGTGGACTATGTTCATCTTCACATGTGCCTTCAGTGTGATCAAAGGACGTCACCAAGCTCGACAGGTGCTAGTGATGAGCCGGACCGTGGTGCCCAGCTCCTTACAACTGTGAGCACTTGCACACTTTGTCACTTCTGGCCACAGGGCCAAGCCGCAGGGGGAATGAGGCTCAGAATAGCCACGTGACCTCTGTGACGTCACACAGCTTGTGAGTGGCAGAGCCTGAAATCTCCCCTAAGTCTGAGCTCTGTGTCTTCCTACCCAGCCACCTGCACATACTGCTGGACACTGTCCACATGGCCGGGCGTGGGGCAGGAGGCGGTTGGACACACACTGGCACAGGGAGCCAGGCCATCCTCACCCCGGGCCTGGCATACATGCCCCCCAACCACCCTACTCCTCACTAACCTCTTCTCTTCCTTCCTTCCAGTCCCCAATTTTCATTGCTCAAGTCAGCCGAGACCTGGTGTCCCAGACAGAGGCGAAGCTCCTGCAGCGACCCTGTAAAGAGCTGTTTTCTGCTTGTGTGCAGTAAGTTCTCCACCAGCCTGGCCAGCCTGGACTGAGGGGATCGGGCCGACAGGCGAGAGGCTGCTCCTGTCCCTCCCCTGGCAGTGTGGCTCCCGGGAAGGCCTTCAGTGCCTGAGGGCTTTGGCCAAGCCACGTAGTTATTTGTGTATAGCAGTCATCTCATATCCGTGGTTTTGCTTCCCACACACTTAGTTATACATGGTCAAATGTGGTTTGAAAATATTAAATGGGAAATGTCAGGAATGAGTTTTAAATTACTTTATTACAGTATATTGTTATAATTGTTCTACCTTTTTTTTTTTTGTACCAGGGATCGAACTCAGGACCTTGTGCTTGCAAGGCAGGTGGCGGCACCACTGAGCTAAATCCCTGGCCCAATTGTTCTACTTTATCATTAGTTATTGTTAATGTCTTACTGTGCCTTATTTACAAGTAAACTTTATCATAGGTTTCTATGCAGAGGAAAAAACTTAGGGCCAGGGATTTAGCTCAGTGGTTCCGACACCTGCCTCACAAGCGCAAGGTCCAGAGCTCGATCCCCAGTACCAAAAAAAAAAAAACCTTAGCATATAGCGTTAGGCACTATCTGAGGTTTCAACATCCACTGGGAGCTGGAACTTCCTCCACAGATGAGTGGACCGTTTTATTTCTCACAAAGGGAAAAGATAATGCAGTGCCATGTCCAAAGAAAATGCCTACTTCAGAGGGGCTTCAGAGCAGGTGGCTCTCCAAGCTACTGAGACCGAGGAATATACAAAAACTTGTCCCTGCCTGGATGGCCTTGAAATCTTTCAGTCCCCACCTCTGTCAGCTGTCACAACCAGGTGGCACTGATGCTGGGGGTGCACAGGCTGCCTGCTCAGCAGCACTGGATCTTGTCAGCAGGCCCCACATCCACCCTAGGGGAGGGCGAGCCAAATTGGCACCAACTGAGCCCACCCCGCCCTGATATGCACGCTGCTGCTGTGAGCTGAGAATGCAGGTACACCAACACATGCCTGCCAGGCCCCATCCGAACCGGTCACCTCACACGGCTGGATGAGTCTGACGCTTTTGTGTGCCCTAATTCAGCACTGCACACATTGAGTACCTGCTGTGTACCAGGCACTGCACTAGCTCTGAGGGAGAGCAGGAAGGCAGTCCTGGCCTTCATGGAGCTTACACAACAAAACCAGGGACCACATGGGCAGAGGGAGGAGCTGGTAGGGCTGTGGTGAGAGCTGATATTTGGAGAAGGCTGCCTTGGGCCTAGCCCTGCCTTAGGTGCTGTGGAGAGATGAGCAGCAGTTGTCAGTATCCTGGCCAGTGACCCTGACTCCCACGCTGGCCTACTTTCAGGTTTAGTAGTTCACAGCCTCTGGTGGTCCCCATCCTGCCATTGTCCCTTCCCTTCCCCAGGTCCCAAGTGCCTGAAGTAGATAGCCACTGTGTAAAGGGGAGCAGCCCATCCCTGCCCTCGGCCCAGTTTGAAATTTGCCAGGCCCTTCTCTGATGGCCTAAGACACAGAGGAGTCCCCAGTATCCAGGACCTGGCACCTGGCCCACAGCAAGTGCCCAGCAAATTCTGCTGCACATAGTGGTCTTGCTGGTCCAGACCAAACCCAAATCCCTCAGGAGCTGTGTCCCCACTTCCCATCCGTACCTCCTCTGAGTCCCCATCACCTCCCATACCTTGTAAGGCTCCATTTTCGCTCATCTCTGCTAAGGGCTCCCTTCTTCAGAGAGATCTCACCAAACCCTAATCTGTGACAGCGCATCTCTGGGATTGTGTAGTGTTTGTGGTTTCCAGTTGGCATCCCCCCCATGCTCCCTGCTGTAGTCCAGTGCCCAGAACAGTGCCCAGCATAGACAGGCACCCAAGAAATGTCACAGGATCCACCAGTTTCGAACTACCTTTGGCAGGGTGCCAAGGCCTCTGGCCAAATGTGCCACATCTGTTGCAAGACCTTGTTTGTTTATATTCCCAAAGGCAGCAGCTCTGCCCACTGGCTTGAGGTTGGGGTTATAACATGCTCATCCTTCTGTCCATCTGAGCTAGGTCTGTCCATGACTACCTGAGGGGAGAGCCGTTCCACGAATACCTGCACAGCATGTATTTTGACCGCTTTCTCCAATGGAAGTGGTTGGAGAGGTGAGTTCCACATCCCACACATGACAGCATCCAAATGGGAGAGGTAGAGGTGCAGGGTTTCACCTGCGACTTCATATAAAAAGGCTGTTACTTCCCAGGGGTCCAGGATTACAATAGAATGAAACTTCCTCCTCCTGTTAATTAAGTTCTAGAAATAATCTGCACATTTTTAAGTGCACGTAAATTGAGGCGCACACATAGCACCCTGTTCTTGCTTCTTTGGTTCACTGTCTTTGGGAATCCTTTCTCTGCTAGTCAAGTAGAGCTCTTAGAAATAGTTGTACATCCTTTAACACCCTGCCCTATTGATGAACATTAAGGCTTTCTCAATTTTTTTGTGCAGCCTTCTCTAAATAATGAATGGCTTTGTACATAAATCTGTATGTACTTTTGCAAGTACATGCACAGAAATGCCTAGCAGAGAAATTTCTGAGTCAAAAGGCACCCGATCATAAACCGAAGGACTTAAAGTTGCCTTTCAAAACAGCGACCCTCAGTTTCCAGCCCCACCAGCCCCTGAGCACCTGCTCTCCCTGGCTTCATCAGCATTGATTTCCTCCTGGGGAGTGAGCTGCACGGTTTCCTTATTGTTTTGTTTCCATTATTCTATTAACAGGTGATATCGGGCATCTGCTCATGGCTTATGTGCTGCCTTGCTCTTTTCAAAGTGCTCTCATTGCATGGCCACCTCCCTGTGACTAAAGAGGTAGAGAGGAGACATTGCCTTGTCACCCAGCCCACCAGTAGTGCATCCGAGGAGGTACCCTGGCCCAGAACCCCCAGCTCAGTGCTCAGTCCACCTTTGATGCTGCAGGATTTGCAGAACTGAGTGATTCCTGCCCTAAATCCATGCTGAGCTAAGCTGATAGACAAGGGGGGTGGGGCGGGCATTCCCTTTCACTGCCCATGCTCCCTGTCCTGGGAGTTCTGGGACTCAGAGCCTCCAAGACACTCCATGGTTAGAGAGCAGGGTGCCATCCTGCCCCTTCATCATTGCAGGCTGGGTCCCCTGCAGACGTTTAGAAGGCTGCAGGCCTGGAGCCCCCTCAAAGCCCATTCTCAGCCCTGCCCTGCACTCACCGGGAAACCCCCTGAGGAGGGCAAGCAGCCTGCCTGCAGCCACTGGCCAGGACATGGCCCCCACTGAGCAGAGCGGTGACACTGACCGGAGGGTGGTCTTCTCTGTTGGCCTGATGAGCTCCCCTGGCCACCCTGCACCTGCACGTCACAGGAGGGCTTCAGGAGGGCAGGTCGGACCAGACACCCTGCTAAGCCACAGAGCCACAGCCCAGGTCCCAGCTGCCTCTTTCTGAGGAGGGGCCTCTGTGAGGGGGGGCTCAACTAACTGCACCCCAGTTCCTTCATTGGAAAATGGAGACAGTCATACCCACCTCACAGGCTGGGGAGAGAATGAGATAAAGTAAGATAGCAAGTGCTGGAACAAGGCTGGCGCTCGACAGAAGTCAGCCACAGGCTGCAGGCTGTCACCCCCTGGCAGTCACCATGGGGCCTGCTGTGTCCTTGCCTCTCCATGTCCAATGGTGAAGGAGTGGCCACTCTTGCTGCTGGCTCCATCATGGTTCTGAGGACCTCGGCACAGGCCAGTGGGGATATATTTCATCCTGCCCACCCACGCCCTGGAGGCCTGGGCTGTGGAACACACACCCTGAGCTGCACCTGGCCACCCAGGGTAGCAGGGTGGCACTGGAAGGTGGGACCCCAGTCCCACTTTACCACTTAGCAGCCAGGACCTGGCAACTCATTCCACCTCTCGAAGCCTAAACGTTCTCAACTGAAGAGTGGGGACAGATGGGCCGGGGATTTAGTTCAGTGGTTCCGGCGCCTGCCTTATAAGTGCAAGGTCCTGAGTTCGATCCCTGGTACCAAAAAAACAAAACAAACAAAGAGTGGGGACAGAATAGTTCCATGTCCTGAGGCCAGTGTGAGGATGACATGAGCCTGTGTGGGGTGCACCGAGCAGCAAGTATTGTTACAGAGACCCCGCCAAGGGCCCACCCTCCACACCAAGGGGTTCGAATGTCGACAGCTGACACTCCAAATAGCACCCTGCGAGGAACCCTGAGATGGATACATAGGCCTTCTCATTATCTCCACTTATCAGAGATGCGCGCCTCAGAGACACTGATGGGCGGGCTCTGGCCACACACAAAGGCTTGGCAAGGCTAGAACCTGAACCCAGTGCCCCTCCCTCAAGCTCTCAGCTCTTAGCCCACTCAGCTATGATTCCTACAGAATCCTGTGGCCACTGGCTTTCGTTTTACTTGTCTGTACCAAGTGCATGAGATGCATGTTTCTAATCTGTACACTGACTACAGAGAAGTTAAGAGTTCATCCTTTGGAAGGCACTGAGTTTTTGGAGACAGCAGGGCAGGATCCTGGCCTGGCAATGCCCCAAATGACCGACAGCACCCAGCCTTCCTCCTATTTTTTTTCTTCCCAAACAAGATCATGGCCTGTTAGTACTGTACTGCCGAAATATTAAAGGGATTTTTTCCCTTCCAAGGTTAACCAAGAAATTCCTGGGAAATTGTATTACATTCATTTCCCCCTAGCCGAGGAGTTCTGCGGTAATGTTGAGCGACTGTTTGTTCTCCATGTATCGTAAACTGTTAGGCCCCAGCTGCCTTCATGTGGTTTCGAGGGCAGCTGTAGGAAAGGCTCCCGGGACCACATGACGGGTGCCAGTGTAGGACAGATTTACTTCCAGGCTGCCCGGGTGCCCTGTACAGAAGGAGAAAAGGGAGGGGCCGGGAGGGGGCAGCTCTGTGATGGGGACTGGGCCCCATGGCCCTTGAAAACACCAGCGAGTCTCGGCATGTGAGTTGGAGACATGGGGCCCCAGAGTGCTGTGGTTTTCCCAAGTTGCCCTAAGAGTAGCCATGGTGCTGAAGATGTGGCTTCCATGAAATCCAAACCATCTTCAGGTCCCAGCAGCCAGAGGGTTTTGCACAAGATACATTTGTTCAAGAGACAGTGGGCAGTTGGAGGCACCCTGGGCTTTCTTGAACTAACTCGCTTCTTTGGCCCAAGTCAGTCACCCTTCGGCCCTGGTCAGGACTCCTGAGAAGAGGGCTGCTCACAAATAGTCCCGGGGATCCAAGAGCCAGCTCTTTCATTCTAAGATGATTGTAGCCAAACACACCAGGGATGAAGAATAAGCTCTCGCATTGTGGAGTCTTGGTTCAACTAGATGGCCTCTTACGTGCTTACTCCTGGAACTCAGAGCTGTCTGATTAGACATAAGTGGGTTTGGCCAATGAAAATGGGGTGTCAGGAGACACAATGTGAAGATTACCTCATGCCTCCAGCCATGGACATTCAGGATCTTCTAGCGTCCTGGTTCGCTGAGGGAAATATAATTAAGGGTTCCCGGTGGGGGAATGGTTGGGACTGATGATCAGAGTACCCAGCCCAGAGCCAAAGCTAGCAGATTTTGTCCCTCGGAGGTACAGGTCCTATACGACCGGAAGTGCGGTTCGCTGTTGTGCAGGTGTGGCGAGGCTGTGGTCTCCCTTCATCCTTAGAGGCCTCCTCTGTGACTCCTTCCCCCTCCCTGAGTTTGGGGAGAGGGACACCCCACATGGTGCAGCTGAGCACACCAGGCTCATTTTTCAAGTCCCTGCCCCACCCTGCTGACCAAGCCAGGCACCAGCCCCAGAGTAAGCCCTTGAGGGTCCAGTCTACAGCTATTATTCTTGAGGATCCCTGGAGCCATCAGAGGTCCTGGGATTGTGCCTCCACAGCTGCTTTCAGTGGTGCCTGGGTCCATTTCTTGTGGATCCTGAACTGTAACTCACGGAGACCAATGTCACGTTCTTTCTTCTTTTCAGGCAACCCGTGACCAAAAATACATTCAGGCAGTACCGAGTGCTGGGGAAAGGGGGCTTCGGGGAGGTAAGTGATATCTACTGAAAGCTCCTGGTCTCTGCTTGCTCTTCCTGACCCTCTTAGATCTCCCCGAAGGGTCTCTAAGTAGGAATTCCTCGAGCCTAGGGGGTGGGGTCCCAGGCCCTGGGGCACCTGTGATGTGTGTGGGAGGGAAAGAGGATGTTGACAGGAGCCACTGGGCAGGTAAACTGGACCCAGCCTCTAATCTGGGGCTCTGGGGAGCGGTGGGCCCATCGCTGGGTCGTTTCGCAGGAGGGACAAGTAAAGCCCCAAAGGAGCTCAGTGACCTTGGCCTCCGACAGATCTGGATGTTGCCACTGCCATGTGCTAGCACACGGGAGCAGAGATTTCTTTGGGTATTATCTGACCCCATATGTGAGGCCAAGCCCTGTTCCTCCCATTTCAGAGACGAGCAAAGCTGCGGTTCAGAATACTTAGGTGGCCCAACTGAGGTCACACAGCCAGTATGGGGCAGAGCTACAGCCAGAGCCCAAATGCCCTGTTGCCATTGCTCCAAATTATAGTCAGGATTCTTGAATTCTCCTTTCACTGACCAAAAGCAAGCCTCTCCTGCCAGCAGCTTACAGGAGAAAATTCAATTGTCCCTCCTGAGAGGGGGACAGTGCTTAAAACCTCTGCCAGACATTGGTGTGCATGGTGGACCCTGAACCTTCAAGTGCTCCCAAGGGCAGGGCCAGGGCGGCAGTGGGCTCACAGGGGCTTGGGCTGACCATCACAGGGCCCCTGTGACCATGGTGACCTTCTCGCACCTCAGGTCTGTGCCTGCCAGGTTCGGGCCACAGGCAAAATGTATGCCTGCAAGCGCCTGGAGAAGAAGAGGATCAAAAAGAGGAAAGGGGAGTCCATGGCGCTCAACGAGAAGCAGATTCTTGAGAAGGTCAACAGCCAGTTTGTGGTGAGTGTCTCGGAGCAGCATCAGACCCACGCCTCTGGGGATCAGGACTTCCCTTGTGTACCAGGGAGTGGTTCTCCAGTGTGGCACATCCCCACCCCCACGTCAGGGAGAGGATCCAGAAGGATGCAGAAAGGCAGCCAGACCTTCCCTCCACCACAGGGCACCTGGACACCTGTCACAGCTGACCGTCTTGTCACCAGACCTGGTGGTGACTGGCTTCCCTGAAGACCACCTTGCCAAGTCCTCCCTGAACCCACCCAGGAAGCTTCAGTCCCACAGACCCTCTGTGCTGCTCTAGGCTCCTCATCATTGTGGAGACCACAGTGGTGGAGTGTCCTGGGGAGGCATCATATTAGTCAGTCTAGGCCAGGCTCCGCTGTAGTAACGAATTAGACTGCAGATAGCCACAGGCAACAAAAGTTTATCTGTCCATCACAGCAAGTGCGAGATTGGCCCAGTCTCGTCCATCTCACAGCTACTTCCTCTGGAGCCTGGGGGAAGTACTAGGACGTCTCCACAGGGACTTTTCATTGCCTTAGAGGGACTGACATTCCACCCTTCCACCCACAGCCTGTTGTCATCTCAGGGGACAAGCCAGCTGAAGGGGAGGCTAGGAAGTGTGGAGGAGGCCATGGATATTTGGTCAGCTTTAAATGTCTCTGACACGTGTTATTATAAAAGCTAATGTATGCACAAGGTAAAAATTCAAACAGCAGAGAGAGTACACAATAAAAATAAATGCCTCCTTCTTTGAGTAATCCTTCCAGACATGTTTTATTCATGTATAGGCTTTATTATTTTTAGCCAACAGGATCTTCCTATACATCTTATGCTGCAGTATTTTTTCCCTTAAGCTATAGATCTTTTTCTCTGCCCAGACCTACAATCAATCACACCAAACTTATTTTTCAATACTGAGGCTTGAATCTAGAGCCTTTGCACTGAGATACATCCTCAGCCCTTTTTTATTCTGAGACAGGGTCACTAACATAGCCAGGCTATGCTCAGACTCACAGTCCTCCTGCCTCAGCCTCCAAGAGTACTGGGATTTTAGGCTTCTGCCTGGCTATTGAACCCCATTTTGAAAGTGGTGCATCATTGCTCTGAAACAGTAATCTGCATAACCAATCCCCACAGATGGACACGTTTCCCATTTTCAAACCACCACCAACAATGCTGCACTGTCCATCTTTGAACACTCCTTTAGTATATTTCTGCAAGTGTAGCCATAGGACATATTCTTAGCAGAGGAATTGCTGTAGCACAGATTTGTGCATCTTTCATTTGATCGCTGTTCTCACACCGCTGTCCATCGAGCTTGCCCCAACTGCATGTGAACAGAGAGGTGCCACCACCAACTCCGTACTTTGGTCATTTGCCAGGGGAAGGTGGTTTTATAAAGTGATACTCAAAGGGGACAGAAGTTTGGGTCTCTAGGTCTCATCCCAGGCTGTCCCCAACTGCCAGCCTTGTACAGAAAGAAGGGGTTGGCAGTGCAGTGCTACATGGCAGGAGGAAGTGTACAAGGCAAGCAGCAGTCAGTTTTTCCCCAAACCTCTTTGACCCCTGGTTGCCACCTCAGTGCTGGCTGTGGAGCCCTCATCTATAAGGGGCAGTGCTGGTGGATCCTACTCAAGGAAAAGGGTCATGAGCCTGACACCTGAGCCACTACATCTCCATTGGCTTTGATGGCTGGATATTCCTGACCTTGCACCATGCATGGCCCCAGCAGGGAGTTCCTTCAGTGTGCTCTGTAATAGTCAGCTTTCCATCATTATAACAAAATACCTGAGGCACTTAGCTTATAAAGAGGAAAGTTCTGGAGGTCTTACTCCAAGATCAGATGGCCCTGTTGCTCTGGGTTTCTCCAAGAGTACAACCTACTGGGAACATGTGGAAAAGCAAAACTACTTATGTCATGATGCATAACACATCATGAGAGACAGGAAAAGATTGAGAGACAGGAAAGGATTGGGTCACCCAGTCCCTCCCAGGGTGTATCCCGGTGACCATGGGTCTCCTAATAGACCTCTGCTCCTGAAGGCCCCACCATCTCCCAACAGCACCATCTTGGAGACCAAGCCCTTCATACATGGGCCTTTTGGGATGCTCATGCAAACCAGGAGCCTTTTTCAGGGTCACCTGGGCAGATGGGGAGGAACAGGGCCAGATGCAGAGGCGGTGCACTTCCATCCCCAGCCCCCATGTGCTGGCTCACCCTCAACATCCCTGTTGTCTCCTTTCCTCCCAGCTAACTGTTATTGTCCCTGATGTTCAAACAGGCCCAGCCTGTTCCACAGTGGCTAGATTTCATTTAGGCAGGCTCACTAAGTGGAAAAGCGAAGGAGCTCTGCCTAGTGTAATTTTGCTTCAATCCCAGCACCGTCTACCTCTCCTGCTACCCCAGGGCCTCAGTGCACAGCACCTTGGGACCAGATCCACCTCTGTTGGTCGCGCCATCGACAGGCGAACAAGACACGTCCTACATGCAAGAGAAAGTTTTGGCCAGACTATGCTGTACCCCCTGAATGCCCGCTGGCCACTCCCAGCCCTGTCACCCTGTCAGAGAGTCCCCATGGCCCAGAGGCAGCCAAGCCCTGCTTTTCTGACCAGGCGACAAGACAGCATCCAGGTGTAACTGGCTGATGAGTGCCTGGCTTTCATGGTGTGAAGGCGCAGACATCATTCTAGCAGGACTGGGAGAAAGTCAAGGTACCGCCTGCTCCTTGCTCCTTGCTGTTCACTTTAAACCACTTGTTGGGAGGAGCTGGGCATTGAGTCCTTTATTAGCCCAGAGAGGCAACAGGCAACAATACCAAGAGGCTGTCTAGATGCAGGGTGGTGGTGTAAGGTGTTCCTCCTTCCGCCACCCAGCCCTCAGCTTCAAGGATCCTGAAAAGGGAAGCAGAAGTGGGCCGCGGTCGTCATGACCTGTTCTTGTGCCCCCAGGTCAACCTGGCCTATGCCTATGAGACCAAGGATGCGCTGTGCCTCGTCCTCACCATCATGAACGGGGGCGACCTGAAGTTCCACATCTACAACATGGGGAACCCAGGCTTCGAGGAGGAGCGAGCCTTGTTTTACGCCGCCGAGATCCTCTGCGGCTTGGAGGACCTGCACCGAGAGAACACTGTCTACAGGTGAGCCGGCTCCATAGCGTCTCCATGCGTGCGGTGGACCCCTGCAGCCCGCTAGTGGGCTGTCATCCCCACCCTGGGGACCAGGTGCATTGAGGCCCTGAGCAAGTGAGCAGGGCCACCCTCTGGCCTTGTTCTCCGGCCTCCAACACTTAGGAAGCCGAGCATGTGAAGCGAGGAGCACCACGACCTCCTGTCCTCTCCAACCCACTCTGGAGGTCGGTGGCCCCCACTGGGTGCCGTCAGGAATCGGCCCCGGAGCCCTGGGGAGGGTCACTGGCCGCAGGCAGGCTACAAGTGGCCTGAGTCCTGCCCTGGCCCATCATCAGCCTGCTCTGGCTTCCCCGTCTCCTCATGAACCTCAGTGCCACACAGCTGGACTCTGAGGCCACGTGTCCAGATCCTTCCGACAGTGAACCGGGGACTTCGCGTGCTCGTTACAGCCCTTCACAAAGGATTCTGAAAATCGTGCCAACCGTATTTTTTAAGGAGACATTGAAATCGTCCATCATAGGTTTAAATGGAGCCAAATATTGATGTTTTGAAATTGAACAGTTGCATCACAGATTTCAAGGGATCCAGCATAATCTAATTGCTGTCGCAAATTGAATTCTACCATCATCCATCTAAACCATGCATGGGAAGCTCCTGCAAGGTAAGGGTGATGTCCAGAAAGCCACACCCCTGGAATCACCAGCGTGGGACTCCACCGAAGCCCTGGGCACCCGCATAGCCCAGGTGGAAGACCTTGGCGTGGAGCTCGGGGTGGAGACTTTCTTGGGACCCAAGAAAATGTTGTAAACAAGAAAGAACGCTCTTCATGACATGTCCTCCCCATACCATCTCCCCGCCTGTGTTTTTGTTTTGTTTTCATTCAAGTGAAAAGAGAGTCAGAACATTTTCTCTAAGGGTTGAAACAGAGAATCCTCCTTGATCCTCTTTTACTTGAACGAAAGAAAAAGCAAGCTCTTCTTTTCCTCTGGGGAGGCAGGAAACCAGAGTATCCCCCCGGCCCTGACTGCTTGTGGCCTCCCCATGTCGTGGCCTCCCCCTGGGTTAGGTTCTGGCTGGCCCCTTAGTGAGCTGGCATTCCAACCCTCTGAGCTGGTTATTGAGATGATGCCTTGTACCCTTATTTGGAACTTTTAGATTAGAATTATTAATGCATATTAATTATACAAGTTTCACTGACATTCCCATGCATGTATCATGCTATGATCATGTCCACCCTCCCTTCTACCCCCTCTTGCCTTCCCCTCAACACAGCAAAAGGTGATGTCAACAACAGCAACAAAGGTCGGGGATTTAGCTCAGTGGTTTCGCCGCCTGCTGCGCAAGCTCAAGGACCCAAGTTTGAGCCCCCCGTACCAAAAATAAATAAATAAACAAGTATATACCAACTTGAAGCATCACTTTGTGAGGCTGCCCTGAAGATTTGGGTGCCTTAGGCCTTCCATGAGGACAGCTGGCATCTGTTAAAGCCAGTTGGTTGAGAACTGGACCCTGGATCTGTTTGCCCTGCAGGGTAACTGAGATGCCCACATCCTGCTCTAGGCTGTTCCTTTACCCACAGAGAAGACCCTTTACCAGGGAAGCCAGCCCCTTCTGCTGCCTGCCCCCATCCTGGGAAGGCAGATATTCCCCTTATTGTGGGCAAGATCCTGTTAGCAAAGGGAAGACAGGCCAGGAACAGGATGAAGCAGCTGCACTTGTAGCTGTGCCCTCTGGCTTGATTCGCCCAGGCTAGGACAGATTTGGGGGACAAGCCAGCCTTCTGGGAGCCTGTCCCGCAGGGGTCTTACTTCCTGGGCCCACCCTCTACCCTGTACCCTCTGGTGCTGCCTGGTGCCTTGGGCTCAGTCACTTCCCTTCCGTCATCCCTCGGACCTCCTCTTCCTTCAGGACCTCGGCCCTGGAGCCGTCAGTGTCTGGACAGGTACCCGGGCAAGCCTTTCCTAACCTTCCCAATCACATTCCCATGTCGAGGAGCTCCCCACAGCAGATGGCACCATTTGTTTTAAATTACTGGAAGGAAAGAAGTAAGCTCAAAATGGTCTTGACCCAGAGAGACCAGATGGCCCAGGCCCCAAGTGGAAAGGAGATGCCCTGTGGGACAAAGGCTCCTGTGGCTCAAGGCGGCCAGCCCAGATGCTCCTGTGTCCTTGCTCCCCAGAAACGCCGCACTCAGATGTCTGTTGTCTTTCCCTTCCAGAGACCTGAAACCTGAAAACATCCTGCTAGACGATTACGGTAAGTCAGGGAGTGGCTCGGGGAGCCTTTCTGATGTGGTAGTGGAGGTGAGCGTCAGGAACCACCCAGAGCGGAGCCTCCAGGGACTGGCGGAGAGGGGTGGGGAGGCCAGGCTGAGAGCCACTGAGGCCCCGTTCCCGCTCCTCAGGCCCAAGCCCCAGGGGAGCAGTGCTGTGAATAAAGCTGTTGTGCGGTGAAGAAGCGCTGTGACCAAGCCGAGAGAAGGAGACAGTGGTGGGCAGGGGGCTGGCATTTCCCAGGCACTGGCCAGCGTGTGTCAGCATGATCGTTTGTGTGTACCATTGCTTTCTCCTGTGTGCGAGCACGTGGTAGCAGCAGTGATGCCATCACAATTTAGCCTCACACTGGAAATCAGTTTTCACATCTTCTGCCTCACTAGATTGTCCTGTCTCCAGGAAAGCGGCAGGGTGGCATCCAGGGCCCATTTTACAGATAACAAGACTGAGGCAGGCTCAGGAGCCAGCCTGCCAAGGTCACCTGGCGGTACCAGCGGGGAGCCAGAGCAGAAACTGGGTCTCCTGCATGTCCCAGCCCCCTCAGCACCCAGCAGAGGAAAGGGAGAAAGGTCTATGTGGGATGCTGCACGTGAAGAAGCAGGGAGCCCAGGGCCTGCCCCCCTCATGGTATGGGGCTGCCCACACTGAGGCCCACGCTGACTGCTGACCCCACATGCTCTTCCCCTTCACTGACTGTCAGGCTCTGCAGGGTTCAGGGGAACCCACGAAGCTCCGGCCTGGCAGGGGCCTCTGGACTGTGCCTCCCAGGGGCCTGGCATCCACATCTAATGGGCAGGGACATGCTCCTCCTCTGGGGGCACCAGGTAGCCACGCCCCACTGAAGGAAGAGCAGGCACTCGGTGTGGTGCTCCCTGGCCTTGGGGCCCAGACTGGGACTTGGGCTTCTGCACCCCGATGGTTCTGTGTCCGTGCCCCAAGATGCCGGGGCCAGCATTTGCCCTTTCAGTTTCTCCAGGGAACCAAACCAAACCGCCTCTAAAGGCCAACACAGCAGGGCAAAGAGTTGCTTTCCAAATTGCCTTATAATTTTTTCCCCTTAAGCAAATTGTTGCAAAATGTCAGGAGAATCTCATAGTTTTCCCATGCAGCAATCCCAGAGTCAGGCCAGGAGGCAACCTCAGCCTTCCAAGAAGCCCAGGAGAGCATTTTATGGGCAGGGTTGGCCAGTGTCCAGCCCAATCCAGGCACCTTTCTGCATCTTTATATTTTATTCCTAAAAAGTGTAACTAAACACGTCACGTCACACCTGGACTCTCTTGTGGTCGCCCTGAGGGGCCAGATCAGGGTCACATCTTCCATAGATGGATGGAAACGCCGAGGGCTCGTGTGCCTTGCCGGTCTTCAGCCCTGCTCAGTACAAGCCAGGTGTCTACGTGCTGTCCCGGGACCTGCTGACCCCTCTGTCCTCCACAGGCCACATCAGGATCTCGGACCTGGGGCTGGCCGTGAAGATTCCTGAGGGAGACCTGATCCGAGGCCGGGTGGGCACCGTGGGCTACATGGGTGAGTGTGACACTTTCAGCCTCCCCAAGTCCCCCCCTGGTCAGAAGTGGAAGTGTGGTCACCCACGGGGCTGCTTGGGGGGACGCCTTAGCCAGGGGGCTAGCGACTGGGACCCAGGACGTGACCCAGGATGTGACCTAACTAAACCGAGCTCTGCACAGCCCTGCGCGACTCCTGCTGTCTCAAAGCTGAGTCACTGGGCGGTGGAGAGGTTGGTGGCCAGAGCCTGGCACGGAGCTGTCCCAGGCGAGGCCTTGCTGAAGTAGCAGTCTGCGTGTGTGGCAGGGAAATAGCTCTTCTGGGAGACCCTGAGAGGAGGAGCTCACTAAGGAAGGCTCCACACTGGGTGGACCTGCCGTGCCACCAAGCATGATTCCCCTCAGCCTGTTCCAAGACCAACATCCCAGGAGCTTCAAAGAGAGGCCCCACAGCTAAATCTGGGGACCCAAGAATCCCCTTCCAACAGGGGACATCCCCTGGGCTTCCTCCTACACACCTCACACACGTGCCCGACTTCCCCTGGGAGGCAGAGAGGGCCAGGAACCCAGGACCATGCACCTTCTTGCCTTCCGCCCAGGCTTGCACCTGCAGCACGTGTGTGGGTTTCAGGACTTGTCTCTGGTCAGGGAGGGCTCTTCTCAGACTGTGTGCCATGTGGCAGGCTTTAGGGTCTGTGTGCGCGTGAGTGTACTCGCCTGTGTCATTGCTGGAAGTACAGAGACGCACGCATAGGTGAGGAGTGGGTGGGAGGACAGTAGGAACGGTCTGCGCGCCTGCATGTGTATCTGTGCCCGCCTCCTGCGCAGAGTGGCGTCCGTTGTCAGCTCGGCCTGTGTCGTGTGCAGAGCAGGGAGTGTGCCGATGCAGCTGCCTCTGGCTGCCGATGACACGGAGCTGTCGTTTTTTATGCTTCTATGGTGAATCTATAATTCATTTTATCAGAGCAGTAGGGAAGACATAGTGAGAGGTTGTCTGAATTCCAGATACATTTAAAATCATCTTTACTTTGAGTAGACACACCCTTATTTGCTGAGAATCGGATGTGTACAGCACCTGCCATGTGCTAGGTGTCATTCCTGTCACTGGGACAGGGCAGTGAAAAGGGCAGCACAGGTTTAAGTCGGGGAGACATCAGGGAGGGAAGACACATCCATCCACTGTGGTCAAAGTACTGAGGCCACCTTCAGAGCCCATTGGGCTATAGAGAAGCACCATGAGAGCAGCACCCTGGAGGAGGTGGCACCTACCGCAGCTGGTGGGTGGCAGTTGGTGCACACAGACCCCAGCCATGAAAGCCCGTCACTTGGGTACAGGACACCCAAGGCCCAGCCGGGGTAAGGAGCAGGCAGGGCTGGCCCGTGTGCTCAGGCTGCAGCCAGCAGGCCTTCACCTGCCTTGTCGCTGTCCTCACCCCCAGCTCCAGAGGTCCTGAACAACCAACGATACGGCCTGAGCCCCGACTACTGGGGCCTGGGCTGCCTCATCTACGAGATGATCGAGGGCCAGTCACCGTTCCGCGGCCGCAAGGAGAAGGTGAAGCGGGAGGAGGTGGACCGTCGGGTCCTGGAGACCGAGGAGGTGTACTCCCACAAGTTCTCCGAGGAGGCCAAGTCCATCTGCAGGATGGTGAGTTCCTGGTGAGCTGGGCGCCGCCCTCCAGCTGCCATCCAGTGCCAGCCCCCCGGCAGCCCCGGCCCATCCTCAGAGCACCAAGCAGACTGCAGGCTCAGGCTCAGGACAGGCTGGATGTGGGCGGTGCAACCCGGCAAGCCAGAGGTGCTAGTGCTCCCTGCTGGGGACTGGGGTGATCAGCAAAGGCCTCCGGAGAATCCTGGAGCTGGGGGCGGGGTGCCCCACAACGCAGGGGAAGGGGGACGCTGGGGCTGACACTCTCGTGTCCCCACGAGGAAGTCAACACAGGGCAGAGAAAGATGGCCCAAGCTAGTCCGTGAGGCACAGAGGGACCCTGAGGGCTGCTGACCTTGGGCCTCCTGCTCTCTGCAGCTCTGGGCCTCAAGGCCCCGGCTTGAGACTAAGGGCTGCAGAGGGAAAGTGATGAGCAGGTCTTCACCCACTGAGCAGAGTGCTGGTCACAGCAACTAAGTTTCCATGGGACAGCATCTGTGGATTGTGACTGCTGCCCCATCTGTGCACAGGACACATGTAGGACTACTGGTCGGACAGGCCGGGTGGACAGGCCAGGGCTGTGGGCTGGCAGCCACGGGGAGGAAGGCGTGAGGGAAGCCTTCGGAAGTGGGGCCCACCCGGAGCGCTGCCCCTCCCTTACCCACCCCATGGCTGGCCCTCCGCCCTTCCTTCGGCTTGGAGGGGAGATGGCCGCTTCCTGCTCCTGCCTGGCTCTTGGGCTCCCAAGTCCCACCCGCAGGTATCTGCCCTCTGATGCCACCAGCCCCATGAGAACAAGAAGGGCCCGAGTGTCTGGCTCTGCACACCTCTAAGCCCACGGTCTCCCCTCCTGGAGCCACACTGCCCCCCGAACAGCAGAGCAGGCTGGACCCCAGAGGGGACTCTGCTTCCCACCTTTCTGAGTCCACAGTGGCCCTGGGGCAAGTTCAGCTCGCAAAATCAGCTTAGCCTGGGGTTAAGGGAGGAGCAGCTGCAGGCTGATGAAAGCAGCTTCACTCCTGCTTCCAGAAACCCCGGCCCACTGCTAGCAGCCCCAAACTGCGGGGTACAGCTCCCCCAGCCCTGGGGGGGCCCTCCTGCAGCCACCCATCCTCTGTCCGCCTCTCACATCACAGCAGTGGGAAGGAGAACTCGGAGCCGTAGATCTGTCACTGACGTGTAATAGACAAGGAGGGAGGAGCCGTGTAATGTGCAGCCTGTTGGACAGCAGGCTGTGAGGCCCCAAAGAGAGCCAAAGAGTTGTTTCAGTCCAAGTTGGGGTAGGGGGACAGAAGGAACGTGCAGCAGAGGTCAGGGGAGGGGAAGGGTGGCTGCTGGCAACATGTGTCTGTGCCCTGGTGCGCTATCTACCCAGTGTGACCAGACTGGACAGGGCTGAGGGAGAGGGCGTCAGCTGTGATCAGAGCATTGCTGGCTGCCCCAGCTCCGCGTCAGGAATTCTGAGAAGCAGGTCTGGAAACATGGGACAAGCTGAGAGTATGTTAGGCTTGTAGGGTGGGAGCTGCCAGAGTCCAGGAGAGCCCCATGGGCCCAGGGCCTCCCTGGTTTCCCTGGGAGACCAGCCCTACAGTATCCGGAGCTGTGCCTACTGGAGGGGCCCAGGCAGGAGACAGAGAGGACCCCCACCCCCACCCTCACCCTCACCCAAATCTGGTTTAGCGCCAGGCTTTGGGCTGGCAACCTGGGACGCTGCTATCCCTCTGCTGCCCCCTGGTGGCCACTGGTGGAAAGGCAGCGGCCAAGCCTGCTGGTCCTATAAACATGACCTGTGCCTGCAAAGTGTCAAACCACTGGCCCGGTCTTTCTCCCGTGAAAGAACCACCCTCTTCTCTTACAAATGATCTTGGTGTCTTGGTACTCTAGTCTTGGGCCTCCTCCTCACCCTTAACTGTAGCCTCTTAGGTCTGGAAGCCAGTCCTGCCTGAGTCCCCTCCAGCAGGCACAGCTCCGGATACTGTAGGGCTGGTCTCACAGGGAAACCAGGGAGGCCCTGGGCCCGTAGGGCTTTCCTGGACTCTGGCAGCTCTCGCCCTACAAATCTAAGAAGGGTGCTGTACAGACAGCGAAGAAGCAGTCTCAGGTATGTTCCATCGCGGCAGGCAGAGGACTTAGGCAGCACTGGCCCCTGAGGTGCAGAAGGTCACACGTCTCAACTATTCTCTGGCATCTCTTGAAAAACCAGAAGCCCTGGCTCCTGGCTGACATTCCTGTGTCCTACCCCTCTCCTCACCCTCATTTCTGCCTCCTGTCTGGACAGCCAGCACAACTTCAGGGCCATCACAGCAGGGCCAGGCTCTACACAGGGAGCCCTGCTTCTTTGGGGTTTCGTGGAACAGGGAGATCAGAGTTCCAATTCCTTACATGAGAGAAGAGAAGCCACCATGTGGGCACCAGCTTGACACGACAGGTTGACAGTGTCAGTGACTAAATGCCAGCCTTAGTCCTTGCAAAGACAGGACCTGGTGCTTGTCCTGCTGCCACCTTGGTCCCCTTATGGGGCAGGGACCCTCTCAAGACCTGGCCTTCACTGGAGGAAGGAGGCTGAAGCCAGGATCCCAGGAGGGCTCAGGACACAGTGGGGAGGACAGAGACCACCGATGTCCCAACAAGCCTCTGCCCTCCGGCCTCCAGGCAGGAGGAAGGGCCCAGGGGCGTGCTCATGAGGCTCTTTCATTACAGCTGCTCACCAAGGACGCAAAGCAGAGGCTTGGCTGCCAGGTGGAGGGTGCAGCCGGGGTCAAAAGGCACCCCTTCTTCAGGAGCATGAACTTCAAGCGCTTGGAGGCCGGCATGTTGGAGCCTCCCTTCGTTCCTGATGTAAGTAGCTTCCCCCAGCCCCCGGCACCTCTGAGACCACCACTGCCTGGCCACCCTCCCCAGCCGGGCAGGGCCCAGGGCTGTGCCTCATCCATTGCCTCCGAGTGGGCCACCATCCTCGCGGGGACCAGAGTGCCCACCACCTCTTCCTCTGGTGACCCATGCTGATGCCACGAATGAGCTCTGCACCAGGAGGCACAGATGACTGTGGGCCAGGGAGCCCCACACTGGTTGCTCAGAGACTCAGAGGATACAGACAAAGCCCTCCCAAGCTTCAGTGTCTTCACCTGTCCAAAGAGGCCAATGACACCCACTCCCCCATCTGCCAGGGCCATTTAAGGGCAAAACAAAACCTGAATGGAGAGTTCTTTGAAAAGGATGACCGAATTCAGTTCAACTTAACATGCATTGAGCACCTACTGTTTACACTAGGCTCTGAGCCAGGCATAGCCAGCTCAAATTACAGGGAGTTAAGTTAGGATTGTCCTTGAAGAGCCCCCGTGTGGTCTGTAAAGCCCAGCTCAGTGTGATCAGGGACTGAGAGAGCCCAGCCGTTAGGCTGCCATTCCAGGGCCCATGGTGTGTCCAGTCAAGGAGTCAGAAGCCAGAAAGGCCTGCTTTAGCCTCTGCCCCTCCAAATCCCCCATGGACTGAGGAGTTGACATCTGGGCGTGGCTGAGAAACTAAGCCAGGGACTGCAGAGGTCATGGGAACATTGCTGTGCAGAGGGACTGCTTTGCCCATCTCTTCCCAGTTCTGTGGTCAGGAACTCCAGGTTGCTAGGTTGCAATAGCTCAGGGTGGGAATATGTATACCGCAGCAGCTGGCAAGTAATACAAATCTGAGCTTTCCTACCCCAACCCCCGGGCCAGTTGTTCACCACTGACCAACATAGCACTGCGTGGAGGCAGATGGGGGGCGGTCCTTGGGTCTCCTCTAGGTGAGGTCTCCCTTCTTATCCTGGTGGCAGCAGGTCCGGGAAGCCAGGCCCTGCTGGGTGCTGAGCACTGTGTGTAACAGTAACGCCACTGACCCCATCTGTCCAGCTGTGGTATCTGTATTATGGGGGTGGCCAGGGAATGCTTTCAGGGGGTAAGGGGGCCATTGAGAACATAAAGAGTGAAAGTCCCTGAATGCTACAAACTCACCCGAAGTGGAATTTCAGCAGGTAGTGGAGAGAGCATCCCAGTTTTGGCATTTGCTCTAAACCCCAGTTACCCATTTAGAATCACCTGGAGAACATGAAAAATACTCATCTTGGACCAAGGCCCCAGTGTGGAGTTTGTTGTTTTGAACATCAAGGGCTATGCAATGGCCACTACTTGGTATCCCTGGAAACCACCTAAGTGATTGCAAGGACACGGCAGCTGTGTTAGCGGCTTCATATCCTGGGTTACAGATGAGGTGGGGACCCAGGCAAGGGTCATGGCAAAGGTTCGGAACCATGCCCTGGCCTCTGGGCTATCTGTTGCTGTGGTGGTAGGATGAGATCAGTCGTGACACAAGAAACATTTCCCAACCTCCCGATATCCTCCAGGCCCTGGGCCAGGCTGCAGGGGACCCATGGTAAACAACACCAGGTTGTTTCCATCAAGGGACTCTCAGTCTGAAGAGGAGGAGAGGTGTCAGCAAAACCCCCTGAAATAAAAATGAGGAAACAATAGAGTAACAGAGGCTTCTGCATGGAGCTGGCCAGGCAGTGCTGGGAGAAGAGCCCTCTCGGCTGTGGAGTTGGCTCCCAGAAGATGCGTCTGTGATAATCCGGGCAGCTGGCCATCCAGATTTGCCTGGGACTGTCCTGCTTTTAGCACTGAAAGTCCTGTGTCCAGACACGTGGGCGTGGTTGGTCACCTGGGTATAACCCTGCCTGTCGGTTACAGAAGCTCTCAGCTCACCTGTCAGTCAGCTCCTCTCCCCACTTCCAAGGTACCACTTGTGGCCCCTGTTCTGGACAGCGAGGCCACGGATGTGCTAGCAGAGGGGATGGTGAATGGAGCTTGCAGGACTCAGAGTGTGGGTCCCTGTGAGCCAGGGGCTTTGCCCCTCAGCACCACCTCCTCCCCCTCCTATCCTCCCAGCCAGCCTTGCACGGTGCTTTGCCCACCCCTTTCAGGCTGTGGCCACATTTATAACCCACGGTGCTATTATTGACTTCATCTTTTTCACTTCACTTGACTCTTCAAAACCAAAGCAAATGTATTCCAAAAGGAAACATCTCCAAGGAAAGAATAGCCACAAGAGGATAGGTTTTGGCAAGTTAGATAGATTTCTGTGCCAGTACAGATTTTTTTTAACGCCCTTTAAAAAAAAAAAAACTGTCCGTGCTCCTCCCAAGGCCAGCTTCATGGGCTTGGTGCCTACCATCACCTGGCCCCCACCTGGGTCTGTGCCCCACTGTTGCCACCTTGAAATTCTGATAAGTTCTGAGCAGGGGACCCTGCGTTTGCACTTTGCACTGGGCCTGCAGACGATGCAGCTGATGCCGACACTGTATTCCACAGTGTGTGCACGCTGGGCCTTAGGGAATGGAGAAGGCACATCACAGCTGCATGACTGCACATCCCCACCCCACCTTTCCAGTGCCTGTGGACACTTGAGCTGTGGTTTGCTCTTCTGGGGTCTGTGTGACCTCAAGCCTCCTGCTCGTGCCCTGACAGGACTGGAGGGCCCCAGAAAGTACAGAGGCCCAAGAGCAGTATGGAGTCTTAGCCTTCCTGGCTGACTGCAGCCCATATGAGGCTATGTGCTAGATTCACAGCCTTCAAATTAACCGATGTCTATGTTGGGCCCCGGGCCAGGGCACGAGGACACTGAACAGGAGATGGCCTCTGCCCTCCAGAAGCAGGTGCTGCTGGGTCTGGGTTGTCCTCTGCACCCAACCTGGAGTCATCTCCACATCCTCAGGTGCCCAGAGCCCCTGGAAGCGTCTCCCCCAGGCTGGATCTCCTGGAGGACAGGGCCCCACCAGGTCCATATCTGTGAGCCCAGGCCTAGCGCAGGGCCCCAGCTCAATGGCTGATGGGCCACTGAGGTAAAGCTGCACCACCATAAACACAACAGCTCATGCACAGGCGTAAGGAGTGGTAGCAGACACTCCCCTCAGCCCTGTGGCGGAGAGCTTGTGTTATCCCTGTTTGTACTCACAGCTCCTGAGGCCTTGGAGGCACGAGTAACTTTCCCAGAGTCCTAAGCTCATGCTTGGGACTCCAGCTCAGATCGGTCTGGCTGCAGAGACCAACAGGCCCCTAGTATGAAAAGGGACCAGGAGGCATTCCTGCCAGAGCTGCATCAGGCAGCCCCATGAAGCCCCAGGGCACAGTCCCTCATGGGCCGTTGCTCTGGCTCTGGGTCCCCACCGTTCACTCTCTCTATGGAGGAACTGACCTGAGACCTCAAACAATGGCCTGGGACAACCTGTCATCCAACAAGATGGCACTGGAAATGTTCCCACCTTCCAGTGCGTCCGGTAACCAGGACCGTCTGACAGGAGTGTGGGGTGCCAGGGGCTGAGGAGCATGAGTTTAGAGACAGAAGTGATCTCTCCACCTGAGGCCCCATCTGGAAAGAGACCACCGGGTGACCTGTAGGGTATGCAAGAGCGATGGCATGAGGGAGCCCTGGGCAGGGCAGTTGGGAGCCCCCTGCTCTCATTTTACAACAGCAGGGACCCCCTCAATGGGTCTGAGAGGACGGCTCAGGTCTGGTGGAGGGGCCAGGGGAAGATGCCCCCTCTGCTTCCCATCAGAACCCTAAGCCCTGTCTTGGGGACACTGGAGCCCACAGTGACCTGGCCATCTGCCTCCCTCAGCCTCGGGCCGTGTATTGTAAGGACGTGCTGGACATTGAGCAGTTCTCCACCGTGAAGGGCGTCAACCTGGACCACACGGATGACGACTTCTACTCCAAGTTCTCCACTGGCTCCGTGCCCATCCCATGGCAGAACGAGGTGGGTGGGGAGAGCCCTGGCTTCGATCTGAGAGGGAGGATGGTCCGCGCTTCAGGTGACATGGAGGTGGAGGCGTGCTGCAGGGACAGAGTGCAGCCGCTGGGCCTGGGCAAGGGCATGGTGCGGGGACGGTCAGAAGGTGCCAAAGCCCAGAGGGGTGAGGAGCAGCCTCCCGATAGGTCTGGCTGGGAAGGAAGTCAGAAACGGCCGCTGCCCAAGGCACAAGCGGAGCTGAGTTAGGGAAGTGGGAACCGATTAGTGGCCGTAGACCCCGGATTCCTCAGAGGTAGAAGGGTGCCCCCTCTGGTGGTTTCTGTCCCCACTGGCACCTGCACAGAGACAGGCAGGGCTCAGGGAAGACAAGGCTCAGAGATGGCCCCGCCGGGCTCCTGACTCCAGGTGACGCAGTGTCGCTGCTTGGCCTCCGCAGATGATAGAGACAGAATGCTTTAAGGAGCTGAACGTGTTTGGGCCTGATGGCAGCCTCTCATCGGACCTGAACAGAAGTCAGCCTCCTGAACCACCGAAGAAAGGGCTGCTCCAGAGGCTCTTCCGGCGTCAGGTGAGAGGCCTGGGTGGGCCTGACCACAGCCCCAGACCCCTGGCTGGGAGCCCCTCCCACGCACACCTTTCTCCTCACTTTCTCCCTTCCCCAGGGAGTGGCCCCCTTTCCCAGGAGGCCTCCTGGCAGGAACCCTACCTCCTCTGGTAGCAGGGATGAAGGTCGGTGTTTATGGAGCTTCCCTGCGGACCAGGCCCAGGGCTGGGAAGTTCCCCAGGGGTCCTCCAACTTAATATCCACCAAACCCCAGGCTTGAGTAAACAACTCATTCAGCCCACCAGTAAGTCTTCCACGCCTCCTGCGTGCCAGGCTGTAGGTCAGGGTATGGGGTACACTGCTGCCCTTGGGCCTCCTGGGGAAGGATAAGCTGCTGCCGTTTCACAGATGAGGAAACTGAGGGCCACATATCTGGTGAGGCCATAGGGAGGGTCTGGGATGACAGGACCAGGAGCGAACACTAGGCTTATAAAGAGAACGTGCAGGCTGAGGTCCCTGAGTTTGTGATTTAATCTAAAACTTCTGTGCAAGCTTCCCGCCCTGTGCTATAATGTACTCATGTTTATATGATATAAAAATATAACCTTTTCTCGGCACTGTCGTGCCCACATGTAATCCCAGCTACTTGGGACCCTGAGACAGGAGGACTGCAGGTTTGAGGCCAGCTTGGGCAACTTAGCAATATCCTCCACCCACCTCATCTTAAAATAAAATTGGGGGGAAAATCTGAAGCTCATTGTGAAGCCTTGGATTCACTCTCATTATTTTTAAATGCTTCCATCAAGTGAAACTGAACTTCCAGAGAGAAATATCCCCTTGCCCGTGTGTCCCAGCCCCCGGGACCTGCCACAGTCCTGGGAAGAGAACTTGCTGTGGAGTCTTACGGACCCAGGCTCGCATCCAGCCCTGGGCCTCTTAGTTAGATGGCCACTTAGCAAACGTCTCTGTCCTGTTTGCCCCCATGAAAACTTGGGCTAGAAACACCACCACCCAGCGTCCTGAAGGAGCCTTCGAGGTAGAGGCTGGTCCCCTGCCCAGGGCCCGGCTCCCGCACCCATGAAACAAATGCTCCCAGCCTCTCTCTCTCCTCCCTGCCGTCTGAGGGCCCAGTGCCCACAGGGATGCCAGGGCAGTGACAAGCAGCCAGTCACCTGAGGGCCAGGTACGAGTCCAGACCCTTCGGCTACCCAGCCTCATTTTGTATCCCAACAAGCTGCTCTTGCTACACATTACAGGCCAGGAAACAGAGGTTAACTGAGGTGTACAAGGTCACTCAGCTTTGGGGGAGGCAGATTTAGGCTTCAAACCCAAACAGGCCTGTAGGCTTTAATTTATACAGACGTTACAGGAGGAACTCCCTTCTCCCCTTCTCTTAACTCCATGGCTCTTCCCAGGCACCAGATAAAGCTCTCTGGGTCTTTGAACCCAGGTTTGCAGGAGAGAATGCAGACGCGGTAGAAAGCAGAGGTGTGTTGGAGCAGCCCTGCCCCACTGCCCCACTTGCAGGTCCCCACGGTGTATCAGCCCAGGGTTTGACTCCATCGTGTTCTCTCCCTCCCACCCCAGCATCAGAACAATTCCAAGAGTTCACCGAGTCACAACCACCACATAAATTCAAACCACGTCAGCTCAAACTCCACTGGAAGCAGCTAGTTTCAGCTCTGGCCTTGACATCCACTGCGAAACCAGCCCAGACCTTTTATTAGGAAAGCAGAACTGTGGCCAGCGGTGCTTCCGCTCTGGCCAGGAGGCCAGCAGCACCCCTGGGAGCTGGGGAAGGAGACCGCTGACCCCCTCTACGAGCCTTGAGGTTTCACAAAGAAATTTCCACTCAGGTCTGTTTTCCAAGGTGGCCCCACACCGGGGTGGATTGGATTTGCCCTCGATGAACATTGCAATAGAAACCCCGTGAGATACGACAACTTGCACGTATTTTAATAGCGTCCTAACTAGAACTGAATTTTGTCTTTCTTATTTTTAAAGAAAAGTTTTGTAAATTTCTCTATTGTCTCAGTTTACATTTTGTATATTTGTATTTAAATGAAAGTCAGACTTTGAGGGTGTATATTTTCTGTGCAGCCACTGTTAAGCCATGTGTTTTAAAGACATTTTAGGAGGAAGGGATTTACAAAAAAAAAAAAAAAAATGTGACTCCAGACTTCCAGAGCCTCAAATGAGAAAATGTTTTTATTAAATGTAGAACATCTTTCACCTTTCACCTTTAAAGGATTGGTTGCATTTACCTACAGCCATCTCTCTGATCCTTTCCTCACATTGTTACCCCCCTTGCCAGCTTGTAAAGATCCAAATGAAATGCCGAGAATGCACTTGGGGTCCCCCCACCGTGCCCCTGCCGGGATCTCCTCTGGGGCCCCGGGGTTGCTGGCGTGCACACCTCCTGCAGGGGCACCGGGCCATGTTCTCCCACCCTTGGGCTCCCCTTCCTGCAGGAAGGCGGCCAATACACAGAATGGATCACCCTCAACCCAGTGCACTCTGAGCAGGGCCTGGCTGCTAAAACCAGCCATTTTCAAGAGGTTGGTGTTGTGTTTGTGAATTTTTTATGTATTATTTTTAAAGGAAGCAAGTGATGACAAGGATCACTCATGGAGCCCCAAATGTCCCAAACACTCAGGACCATGGAAGCAAGGGTCCGTAGGCATCCTGAGTGACAGCCTCACCTGTCAGAGGAGAGAGGTTTCCCCCGGGCTTGGCCCATTCCCGAAATGTTCATCAGGTCCTGATGCCTTCATGGGACCCAGAGCTTTGCTTGCCCGTGTGGCATGGATGAGGTCGTGTCTCCCTCATCTGGGACACCTCAGAAGAGACCAGGCCACCAAGGACACTCAACACATACTCACTGTCACTGCCCAAGGAGAGCTGGGGCAGAGGCAAGTTCTAATTAGGCGATACAAAGCTTCAGGTACAAGTAGCCTCTGGAGGGCTCAGTGGCTTTGCCAAACCAACAGCTTCTGTGGGTGTCCCCAGACCCTGGTAGCATGGCTTTTCAGCCCCGGGGAGCTGCTGGCCACCCTGGCTGCCTCAGGAGGGGACAAGGAGCCAGGTCAGGGTGAGAGGCTGGCCTCACATCTCCCCTGCCTGGCTGAGCTCCTGTGTCCAACTCTGCCTCAGAACTGATCTCAGCCACCAGGAGCTGCCAGGGATTCTCGCACGTTGGGCCAGACATCACCTGCATCCACTCCTGCTGTTAAAATGCAGATTTCCAGGCCTGGCCCCAAACCTGTCGTGTGAGGATCTCTGAGCTGGGCCTGGAAATCTGCTTTTTTCTTTTTGTACCCTGGATCGAACTCGGGACCTTGCACTTTCGAGGCAAGCGACAGAACCACTGAGCTATATCCCTGGCCCTGCATCTTTAGATCATTTTGATGACCCTGAAATATGAGAACCAACACCTTAGGACATTTGTGGGGCTGGGGTTGTGACTGTCCCAAACATGTTTCTCTGGCTGACCCAGCAGATTTGGGGCACAAGCTTTTAGGGAGGAATATCCTGAGCACATCAGCCTCAGGACCACATGTTCAAGATCTGCTCCCAGACTTTGCCAGGGGTCCTGGGGCATGCTGCTAGAAAAGGCCCTGGCCTTTGGGACTGATCATTTTGAGGTCATTTTACAAACAAATGGGAGAGAAGAAACAATCAGGCTTCCCTCAACTCCTTCTACTGTGCAGTATTATCATCTTCAAGACAATCTCTGGAAGCTGGTACCCTTTCTTGCACTGTGTAGGAACCAAATACAAACAGCTGTATTCAGGTTCTGCCAAGAAGTGGGATGCTCTTGGATCCTTAACTCTTGCTGATGCTCCTTCTTTAAGGAAAAGAAGGTCTATCATCCTCCGGGGAGGGCATCGGCCGAAGCCACCCCCTCAGACTCCTTCCCAGGTTCATTCTCTTTGCCCATTCAGGGCCAGTCAACCCCTGCCGGATGGAATGGTGTCGGGCAGCCGGGTCTCTCCATGCCCCAAAGCCAAGGCACTGTCCATTGGCAGCAAAGGATCCCCAAGGATAGAGAAAGTAAAAGTTTGGCTACCATGAGAAGCCCAACAGTCCCAGGGCACAGGCCTTGGCACTGACTCGTGATAACTCGTCTTCCTTCACATTGCCCCCTGTCTCCCAGTGCCCGTGGGAGGTAGGGCAGTCACACAGCTATTCAGTCTATTCCCTTGGCCCATCCATGGCTCCACAGTAAGAGAAGGGATCTCAAGAACAGTGCCTGAAAACCAGCCCTTCTCTCCGTTGAGTCCGAGTCCCTAACCCTTCCCCACTTTGCTCCCCCTCCAACTTTGGTTTCTATAGCTGCATTTTAAAAAGATATTTTTAAAATTAAAAACAACCCCTCCCTCCACCCATTCACCTGTCCAGAAGGAGGCACATTTGGATGGCGGATGGATGTAACTCTCTCCTGCATTTCAGCTTTCTGAAGAAGAGCCTTTCTTGCTCCAAGAGTGACATTTTTCTCACCAGATGTTCGCTGATTTCGTGCCTTTGGGGTGAGACGCAGGGTCTCCCAGAAGCATCTCTGCTTCTGCTATTTAGAAGACAAGCCATCGTCCCTGGTGGACAGGGTAGTCTCTGCCATGGTCACTCTGACTTGAGAGTGTTTGTCATGTCCTGTAGGAGATTCCCAGAGTGTCCTACAGGCCTGGTCTGCACCTTCACAGAGGATGGCGTCCATCACAGGCCCACTCGTGCTTGAACCTGAACCCTAGGGCTCCAGGGTTGCTCACTTGCAGCAGCCTGCGGACATGTGGTCTCTCAAAGTTCATTGCTGCCTCGGAGGGGCAGGCAGGCAGCAGCAGGATACCCCCCACCCCGACGACCTAGGATGGTGGTGGTGAGTTTGGGGCACATGTGCATGCACTGGGAGGCACAGTGAGATGTGGCTGCCTTCCCTGGAGCCCAGGCAAGTGCTGAGGATACCGAGACCAGGAAGGTGCCATGCCTCTCCAGAGAGCTTGGCACTACAGTTGAAATCCATCCTTTTCTTCCACACGATATCCTGTCCTGAAAGGCTGCGGTTGCTGTTCCACTTTTCTACCTTTTTCACAGAGCTGCTGACCTCAGTACAGAGGAGACACCACATCCTTTGTGAGCCTGGTATCCCAGGCCTTGCCAAACGGGACACTAGCTTCTTGGACTACCGGAAGTCTCCAAAGAGGAAGAGAAAACGCCTAAGTGACACTTGGCCCTTCTTTGGGGCTGCTGTGTGCTTGCTTTTCTCACTGAACACTCACACCCTTCCCAGACAACCTCTTCGGTTGTCTCCTGTTTTCATAACCTGATACTCTGAGATAGGACCTTCTAACTTCTTGCCATTTGGTAGGGAAAGATAGTAAATAAGTCTTTGTGCATTTGAAAGCCACATAGCCATGGGAGTTATGGACAGCAGAGAACTCATTTCTTCCGATCACAGCAGACCACAGTTTGGGGACCTTCACCCCACCCCTAGCCTCTTCTGCACCTGTTTGCACAATCAGCCACACAGCTGCTGCAGGTCAGAGATGTGCGAGCCAACCCTGCCCGGGCACCGTGTATCTCCTCTGGCCAAAACTTAAAGGCTCGTGCTGGGGACAGTGACTTAAAACATGTGACAAAGTAGCTGTCCTTAGGAGGGAAGGACACTTTCCCAAAAGAATCTAGATGTCTTTTCCTACTTCATTAAGAAGTCATCTTTATAATAGATCCAAAGCAAATGTTCTCAATTAGGAGAGCTTTGTGGCTATTGGCATTGTTAAAATACTAATAATCATTCTAGTATCCAAAGGTTACTGGTTTTTTTTCAGGGAGATTTTATCACTGATGAATAAAAATGGCTCCATTTGGGAGATCACTCCTGAAGTTAATGGCTTCTTTCTGCTGCTCTGAATCTTTTGTGTTCTGTCTAACATGTCACAGTGCTGCTGTGCCTAGATCGAACCACTGTTTTTCTTTTTAAAGAGAAATAAACTCCTTAATGAAAATAACACTGCATTTCTTTCCTTCTGCTGAAATCTTGTCCTGTGCTGTCCCTGTGTGGCAATGGCCCGCTGATCCCCTTCCTGCTGCAGTGGCTTTTGGGTTAATCCTTTGCCGAAGTTAACAGTTCCTCCCCACCCAGATCTGGCCCACACACTGACCACCCCCTGAGCCTCCCACCAGTGGCCAGGCTATCAGCTTCTGAGTCAGAACCCAGCAGATGGCTCCAGCCATGTGGCAGAGAGGAGGAGCCGGGTAGCAAAGCCCACCATGGCAGATGAGGCACATGTGTGTCATCTGGAACAGGCAGGCTCGGCAGGGAGGCTGGCCTGGCTGCCCGGCCTTGCACAGGGCAGCTAGTGAGCAGGGTGGCCCTTATGCATTGGAATCGAGGCATGAGACAAAGGTTGTAGAATGAACAGAACTTTGGACTCAGGAAACCCCTCATTCCCTGTGTGACCTTGAGCAGGCCATGCCGAGTCTCACTGTCTTGTCTGTCAAAAGGGGTAAAGCCATTATGCTAGGACAACTGGAGGACCAGTGAGAACAGGGTGAGGCCCAGCGTGGGGCCATGCCCTTGAGGACAAGGCCATTCTGGCAGTTTCTGGATCCCTCTTTTTTTCAAGACGAGGTCTCACTGTGTAGTCTAGGCTGCTCACTAAGTTGCAGTCCTACTGCCTCCACCTCCCGAATGCTGGGATCGTAGGCGTGCACCAACTTGCTGGCTTCTGGATCCCTTCTGATCTGTGAGCAGGCCCCTGCCCGACCCCACACTTACACCCCAGCCCAGGGTAGGAGCTCCATGCTGCCTCACCAGGTACTTGGTCAAGGCAAGGGGAGCACCTGAGCAAGGAGTTGAGGTTTGAGGCTCATTTCTGCCCAGAATCTTGACACAGGGTCTAGAGTCCATATTCTCCCATGGAATACAGGAAATTGCAATACCTTCTTCCCCTTGGCTCCTGGAAGCAGGAGTCTTTCTCGGATAGAGTCAGGACAGAAGCTACTTATTGGGGGACCCTCTTTGGAACTGGACAGAAAGTAGAACTGGCCACTGGCCAGGTTGGGAGTGGCTGCAGCTGGGAAAGGGTCTCTCCTGGGATGGTGGAGGCGCTGCTGAGTGGAGAGCTGAGGAACCCACAGCCAAGGGTTTGCCGATGCGCAAGACGACTCCAAGGAGAGAACGCAGGAGTAGAGACCCTCTAAGCCTTGGAATGGGGCCCTCTCGGGAATGAAGAGGACCTTCCCCGGCCTTG